TCTTAGGAACAAAATTAAGGTATTTAAGTCGTTTTTAGATACGGTTACCATGTGTCCTGGTTTGCCTGGGACAACCCCAGTTTACATCTTTTATGTGGTATAATTAATAGCTCTGTCTTTCACTCTCAGAGGCATCACTGTTTGGATAATATGGCCAACAGATAAGACTTGGAGCCAAGGTAGCAGGTGCTGAGTGATTCATTAATTCAACCACTTGACTGAATACCTGTTGCTGTCAGGATGCATTCCTACTATTTTTAATCTGACTTATAAGATGTATCTCCATTTTTGTTTACTTATTTTTTTCATACTGTATCATTTAGCTCTTTTTATAGCAGGTCATAAATAGACCATGTCTTGATTCCTTTGCCCTGCCAAGCCATTTAAGACAGCATCTGGTCAAGCATGGTGACGCACACCTGTAACCACAGTGCTTTGGGAGGCAGAGGTGGGAGGATAGCTTGCTGCCCGGATTTTGAGACCAGCCTGGGCAAAATAGTGAGACCTGTGTCTCTACAAAATATTTTTTAAAATTAGCTGGACGTGGTGGCACATGCCTGGATCTCTTGAACTCAAGAGGTCAAGGCTGCAGTAAGCTATCATTGTGCCACTGCAGTCCAGCCTGGACAATAGCGCAAGACCTTGTCTCTAGAAAGAAATGTTTTAAAAAACGAGCATTAAAAAAACCAAGCTAGTATAGTTGAATGGAGAGGAGGCCTAAGTTAGTCTCAATTTCCATATAAACTAGTTTGCCTTCCATAGAGAAAAAAGTACTTTCGGCTAACCCTAGCCATCTCACAAGTATATGTATACATGTATCTTATACAATATCATAAACGATACTGGCAAAGAAAATGATTACCTCCACTGGACATCAGCATTACCAGAAAAGGGACTCAAAATGTGTGTCAGAATCAAGGAGCAGTATGTATGGTAGCATAGGATGAATTTTGGGGTCAGGATTCCTGGATTTAGGCCATTTATCTACGGACAGTGTAACTCTAGGCAAACTACTTACTCTTGTAAGTCCTCATGATGTGGGGATAATACCGTCCACACCTACCTTATACAGCTGTGAAGATCAAGTTGTATAATGTGTGTAGGACACATTTCACTCAAGTGCTGTACACATGTATGTTATAACTATTGGGTATTATGGTAATAGAAATGAGCCAAACACAATGCAAAGCATAATGATAGTAAATCAGAATTTCTAAAAATAGGGCAGACAGTTGTATATCTGCATAAAGATTAAGCAAAGGTTATTTGTTGTTTCAAGGCTTAAACAATAGTGTTATCAGTTGAAGAATAAGATATATTACTAGCCGGGCTCTGTGGCTCAGCCTGTAATCCCGTGCCTTGGGAGGCTGAGGTGAGTAAATTGCCCGAGCCCGCGGGTTTGAGACCCGCCTGGGCAACTTGGTGAGACCTCATCTCTACAACAAATCAAAAAATTAGCCGGGTGTGGTAGCACGCGCCTGTAGTTCCAGCTACTTGGAAGGCTGAGGCGGAAGGATCGCCGGAGCCCAGCAGGTTGAGGCTGCGGTGGCCGGGAGCAGCCACTGCACTCTAATCTGGGCGACAGAGTGAGACTCCAACTCAAAAAAAAAAAAAAATGCATATGTAACTCTAAAATCTTTTAGAATTGAAGAATATAGGCGCTTTATATAATTTTTTATCTCTAAACAAAAAAGACTATACTCAATCCCAGTTTTGCTATTTTTGTGACCTTAGAACAGAAAAGGAAATCAAAATGGAAAAGAAAGGAAAAATAGTTACTCATATATGATCAGAGTACCTGTAAAGTGGACCCCATACCATCTGGCCTACATATTTGTTTTAAAAAAACAAAAAAACAAAAACCCAAGTGAGAACATTTAGAAAATAACCAAACACAATTCTCGGCAAATTATAGGTGACTGATAAATGTTTGTTTATTTTGGTTATTTTTGTATTCTTCCAAAGATAATAGAGAAAGCTAAGAAAAGTATAGAAGTCTTAATAGCTAACAAAATCAAGACTAGACCATTGGTTTTCAGATTTGTTTAGATACAGATCTTTTTGTTTAAAAAAAAAAGGGAAGTGAGCACAAACCCTGACTAGTTAATATCTGGTTCTTGCTCTACCCACCCCAGTGACTCTTGCTTGCCCTTCTGGGGCCTGGAGGAGAACTGCTGGGCTGGACTGTCTGCAGAACTGGGCAGGGGAGGAGACATCAGCCGGAAGTGAGACCAGCTAGAGGGGTGAGCTTTTGCACTGACGTTAAAAGATTTGGATGTGCTGAGATGAAATCCTTGTCGGGTGTTGTGTTGAAAGTGTTCAGTGGACAGCTTTGCATTTTGGTCTTAGAGTCAATCAGTGCTAGTCGAGAGAGGGAGTTTTGAGGACATGACATATTGGAAACTTACCATTGAAACCATGGACAGGGATGAGACTGCTGAAGAGACCATAGAACGACAAGAAGAGAGGACCAGGACCAAGTAAGGGCAGCTAGAAGTGGAGAACGTGGTAAAGGAGAAGGAAGGAGCATGAAGAGACCCGGTGGAAAAGCGAGCCGGGACCTGAGGAATCGGTGTGAGCTAAGGAACGAGTCAGAAGGGAGAAGCGGGGGACCCCGTCGGGCCCCTCCCACGGTGGAAGCTCCTCTGTCCTCGCAATAAATTCTGCTTTCTACAAAAGAAGTGAGAAACGCAAAGGCTGACAAGTGTGAGGGGTTGTTAGCTAGAGGCTGAAGGTAGGGGAAGTCATCGTAAAGACAAAGTTGAGCACGTTGCAAGTGAGGGGGAAGTAATGGACGGCGAGACTGAGGATACTGTAAGTAGGTACGCTGATGATGGAGAAACTTTCCTCAGAAGACCAAGGAGAGGGCCTAGTACACAAGGGGGGCCCCCAAAACAGCATTTGTTTATAGAAGCATGTGTATTTCTTCTGATTTCTTCTTACGTGTTTAAACTTCAGTCACCTTCAAAGTACTCTGTTTGATGCAGTATACCTATCGAGATTTTTTTTACTGCTCAAAGCAGTTTTTTAGCTTGTTCATTTGGATGCCTTTTAGTGCTGTTCTTTGTTTCACCTTTTCCACATCTGCAAAACGTTTCCCTTTGAGGACTTTTTTCATCTTTTTTAATCCAGGGAAACAAATAAAAAGTCGCTTGGGGCAAGATCAGACGAATAAGGAGGGTGGGGCACAGGGGCCATCCCGCGTTTTGGTTCAGAACTGCTGAACACTTAGTGCTCTGTAGGCAGGTGCATTGTCATGATGGAAGAACCAGTCACCTGTTTGCCACAACTCAGGACGTTTCTTCCACAAATTGTGATGCAACCGCCTGAAAACTTCCAGATAAAAGCTTTGGTTGACCGTTTGATCCAGAGGAACAAATTCAGAGTGTACTACAAAGAGCCCATCCTCCAAGCGATAATTCTGGTTTTTTGGGGATACCCTCTTGTAGTTGTGGATGCAGAGAAGCTCATCAGTGTGTAGGGAGTTGAAGCTTTTCTTTTGCTGAGTGGCCTTAGGAGAAGGGGAAAGGAGATCATAGGAGAGGTCTTGAAAGAGGTAAAAATGTGAAATCATCACTTCATATTCATGTGTCAGACCCTCTGATTTCCCCTGGAGAATAAGCAATAAGTAAAACAGACACTGTCTGCCCTTACTGGTTAGCTGGTAATCCAAATAAGCAGATAGTATTGGAGGCATAGCTGGAGTTGGAGTTCTAAAACGTGTTCTTTGGTGTCACTTCTTGCCCTGGAGGATGATTTTAGATGGCCCTGGCTGGATGGTAGAGTAATCCAGAGGTTGTAGGCATTGGGGCTGGATCAGCTGTGACTCAGCAGATGTCCATAGGACACCTTGTGCGTGCCAGGCGCCGGGCCAGAGAGTGTTGCAGGCTGTAGGTCCTGATGTGACGACGGGTGAAAAGAACTCTGGGAAGAGATAGGTAAATACGTGAGAAAAATGGTAGATTTGATCCATGTGGCATATAATGTGTAGCTTATAATATAATATATCCAGCATTATTTTATAGATTCGTTACCCTTACACTGTTCCATTATGATTTAATTCTCGAGTTACTTGAAATAAGTGAATTGTTTTCAACTAGTTGTCAGTGGCCAGCAGTGACCTGCTGGCATGGGAGACCAGGGATGTTAAGCATCAGGGCTTGAGACTGTTCCATACGACAGAGGACCACCCCACCAAAAATGGCAACCGAATCCCTGTTGAAAAACTCTAAGATAGATAATTTGGAGCTGCAGAGTTTTCATTTAATTTATTTTGTTTCATTTCTTCACTCAAAATATGTGTTATACTGTAAGATCTATAAACCAAAAATTGTGAAGCGATCCTTTGACATCATATTTAATTTGTACACTCCCTTTCCGACTGGCAGTGCAAACATTTGTGAGGTCTTTAACTTATTCAGCAGTCATTGACTTCACCACAAAGCCTTTCTAAAAAGAGAATTTTTTTCTTATGTAATATTTCAGATCGTTTTACTTATAGACAAAAATTGAACCATGTAATGCTGTAATTACACTTGGTATTTTAGCTTTCTCATTGGGTAATGTAAGCTTAAGATGAGTTTAATGTTTGTCAAGTCCCACAAATAGATGCTTTTATCTTATAGGGTAGATATCATTGCAATTTGTTTGCTAGGTCTGGTAGTTACTTAAATGCTCCATCAGATAATCTAGATAACGGTTTTTGTTTATTCTAACAGTATAATTAAGTCCAAGAAATTAACCCAAATGAATAAAACAGGAATAGCCACCATATTTATATAATGTGATTAAAGTTCATAGAATTTCTCATGTTGCCAGGTGGCCTTCAGTTGTTGAGAAGCAAAAACACAGAACAGGCCAGATGTCTTTGTGTCTAGCATTTTAGCACATTTTAGGCTTAAACTTGTTTCTGAAGGTCGTGGGGGTGGGAGGGTAGGAGAAGAAGCTGAAGATACTCTCAGGGACTAAAGCACTGAACTCTCATATGCTAACTTCCGCAGATAAAGGTGGAGCCCGTGGTTCCCGCTCCAAGCCCAGTTATACCCAGATTAACTCTCCGCGTTGGTGCTGGCCAAGACAAGATGTGAGTATACACGTTTTGAATCCAAGTGAAACAAATTAAACTTAACCTTCTGTACCTCTTCCTAAGGGGCACAGAACTCGACAGACCTTTTCCAGGTATGAACATGTAGGGCCAAGCTTTGTTTTGAGAACTCTTTGTTTTCATGTTTTTATTGGTTTCTTCCATGGAGTAAATGCCCTTTGCTTTATTTAAAATACAGATTTTTTTTCCTCGTTCTTTTTCTCTTTTACAGAGACTTGCAGGTGACATTGTTTCTGCATAGTCTTTAAGGTCCTGGTTATCTGAAAAATAAGAAACTATGTATTGAATGGGCTCTATGGCATATTACACCCAGGTGGATGTAATGCTGAACCTTCTCAAGTCACTTATCCATAACCATGACAATGAAGATTCTCTTTTTGCTCAGGTGGCACATGGTTTTATTCTATACCTATAAAGCAAAGATACTGCCAAAGGCTCGGTGAAACAGCAAGTAATAGTAACTGATGTTTTCGTTGTCTACTCTTTTTTTTTTGAGAGATAACTTGAAATGTAAACTCCATTTTTGCTGTTTATTTGTCTTAATTTTCACAGCATCATCATATCAACCCACTCTTCTTTAAAGTAAATTAGTCGGAAATTTCCCTTTTATTCATTTTGGGGGATACATTAAGGTCTACAGTACTCTTGTTTGGTTCTTATAAGGTAATTAAACATTCTTTCTCTAAATCACATTGAAAATCATTCTCCTTGTTCTAAAAGCATATTATATATCATTTAAATAAATTCAAAAGCTGAAAGTACAAGTTTATAGCCTTATTTTTCCTAGTAAGCCTGAAAATGGAATTTACATTGCAATCTGTAAAATATTATATAGAAAATGGACTTATAGGGCATTTCATTTATGTTTAGTTTTTAGCCATAAAAGTGAGAAAAGGACCCATGAATTGATTTAGCAGTTAGAGTAGAGAACAGAAACTTGCTTTGTGTTCTCAGTGGTTCTTCTTAAGGTTTGCTTGTATGTTATGCTCTTGCTTCTCTCACCTCCAAATGTCGTGCACAGAAAAGGTCCAGCACGATTGCGATGAATGGTAGCAGAGAGGCAAACGTGGCTTTCCAGGAGACTGTCTACCCCTCTGAAGGTTTAAAGGAGGAAATCCAGACGGCTCCTGCTTTTCTTACCTAAATTCTCGGGATAGTGTCCACATCACTGGTTTTGGTTGTGCCAGAAGAGATCGAGTCAGTGCATGATAGAACTGCCGACAAGCTTAGAAAATGTACCAACATGTTGTGGGTTCAGCTCTTTTAAACCAGATATCTGGTGCACCTAGTGACCTCTCTCTTACCTACAAAAGTTTAAATAATCTCTTCATCCCTTAACCAGTAGAGCTCAGAGAAGACCCAACCAAAAGCTCTTCTACCGTCTGCTTAGAACTGTATGTGGGCTCATTTGTACTTTTCTCCTACCAGTTCATTGCTATTCCTATCTTCCCAGTAGCTATCTTTACTCCCACACAGAAGTTTGACTTGCTCGGCTGGGTGTGGAGGCTCATGCCTGTAATCCCAGCACTTTGGGAGGCCAAGGGTGGGAAGATTGCTTGAGCCCAAGAGTTTCTGACCAGGCTGGACTACGCAGCGAGACCTCGTCGCAATTATTTTTTAAAAATCAAATTTTTATTTTTTAAAAAGTTTGACTTGCTCATTCCCTTTAGAGGAGTAAGGTGTGATGGCTATTGTTATCTCATCTGCCCTTAAGCATCTTTCTTTTGAGTCCTTCTATTGACTATTCTCTTTTCTCTCTCAGTAAATCACTTGTACACCTAAGATACTGGAAGATGTGAGAAATCAATCCTATTACTCTGGAAACAAAATGTCCAGTATCAGGGAAAATATAATACCCAGACATTCTAGACAAGTTGCTTTTGAAAGTATAGTATTATATATCACATGAACTTTTTGATATTTAGGTAAGTAACCCTCATGTTATATGAAGGATTGATCATTTGACCAAGGGGAGATGCAAGAAAATCCTTACAATGAACAAAGAGATAAATTAAGTGAAATATATTGTACTTTAAGAGAGTCAAAGACAGAGAGAAGACAAAGCCACATAGTAATGGAATTTTATGTAAAAATAGCATTTTTTTTCCTTATTTTTGTTTTTTGGTCCAAACAAGAGGTCATAAATTGTAACAAAGTATGACCCATGGGCCATATTCATCCCACAGCCTGTTTTTGTATGAACTGCAAGCTAAGAGTGGTTTTTATATTTTTAAGTGGCTGGAAAAAATTAAAAGAAGCGCGTTTTATGACACAAAAGTATATAGCATTCAAATTTTAGTAATCTTGTACAGTTGTTGCATAAGGATGCACAACTTATTCCATGGCAGTAATAATGGAAAAGAGAGTCTAATAAATGTGCCTTTAGTTACCCAATGTGTATGCAGTTGGGATGTGGAATAATACTGTTTTGAAGTGAAATTAATGAACAGACTATGATTCAAAGGGGAGAAGTGTTTATTGCTGACAAACAGGCAAAGAATAGTCTTTTGAAAATTACGGGATAGAAAAAAACTTTACAGGGTTCAAATTATACACTCTTGCTGGAAGATAAAATTTAAGACAATATTTAGTTTCTAAGACTTAAATAAAGCAGTTATGTCTTCTGCCGTTGATCCAGAAAAGTACTTTGAGGTTGGATATCTTCCTCTGTTCTCCATTATTGTCCCTTGAATTATGACTGGGATAACTTGTTTTTCCCTCCATTTGACATTCCTGGAAACTGTACTCCCCAGGGGTATCTGCTGGCATCCAGCATCTCCTACTGATAGTGCTAAAATTCAAGATGGTTTTCCAAGGACTCCAGATTCCTTTAACAGACTTCCAGTAATGGATATCCAGAGTTCGCTGCAGTCAATATTGAGATGAAACCAAAATTCTAACCCTGAAAGAAGAGTCTCAACACCTGAAAAGCGTCAACAGAGAAGCAACACATTTAAGTTAATTGTTGAAATAGCTGGTCCAGCCTAACTGTCATCTTGCCTTGATGCCAGGACAGCAAGTAGGATCCAGCTTGCCCAGGAGCAGCTGCCTGGAGCTCTGTTGTTGAAATCCTGAGGTCCACACCGTCTGGGGCAGGGAGTGCAGAAGTGAGATGGCCTGCCACAGTGGGTGGGGCCACTTGTGGTGGGTGGGCCAGCAGGGTGGTCAGAGGTTGTCATCCTCCTCTTAACTGTTTGGAGTTCATTCATTTTGAGCAAGCGTTGGAAGATTGGCTAGCTGATGGCATTCATTCTTTTATTCGTTTATGTGAAGACAATAGAGCAACGCGATCGAATATCTTAGGGACAAGGACAGTTGGGATGGAATTGTCAGGAAAGACATGGCAAAATGGAGCCTACATGTTTTCTAGTTGAAATGTGTGACTATAAAGCTCAAAATTCAGTTAAAGACGCCTCATGAAAAAAGGCAATTTTAAATATTGGTGAGGCATTATGAAACAATGTAATTTACATTTGCCTGAAGACTTTGGGGTGAGCAGTGATGGAGGTGGGGAGTGAGCCCTTGCCCTTGCATTTCTCAAATGTCTCCTTCGCTGCTGTCTCCCCTGAGGCCTGGGGAGGAAGCCCCCGCCCTGGTCCATCTGCTTTCCCACCTTTGCCCTCTGGCGAGGAGTCCCTCTGCCCAGCCCTGCTGTCCTGCCCACGGCTGAACCCCTGCCCTGGGGAGATCGCGAACTGCTTCTGCTTCTGCTCCCAAGGTAACAGATCGCCCCTCCGGACACCCCACCCTGCTGGGTCATGTCTTCTAGTTAATATCTAATGATGTATTTGATCAGGTGATACAGGAACTATGTATGATGCCTGTCAGAACAGTCTTGCTATCAGTGATAAGAGTAAACTCTGAGAGTTCACAGTAGGTATTCTGGTTGACAGATCTCTTTTTTCAAAATATACAAATTATGTTGAGATATTTTTCAGGGACCACTTCACTGCTGGCAGTTAGAGTTTTCTTTCTGCTGACGTTTCGATTTCCAGTGGCAGCAGCATTGATTTCTTCCAGTTCAGTAAGTCTTTCGTTAGTCTTCTCCAGGTCAGGTGCTGAAGAGGCGATGCTTTCCTTTTCATGTTGTTGAGTTCTTTGTTGCAGTCCACAGAGTTTAGCTTGTGCCTCATGGGGGCTTTTTAATGGTTGTAATTTCTAAACTATTTCAATATGCTGTGAAAGTGTGAACTAAAGCTTTGCTTGTTGATCTTTAAGAACATAAAACATGTATAGATACATGTTGTCTTTGAGTGATCTAAACTTTTCACTGGATGGTTTTGACGGTGGAAGTAGAGAGTAATCCTAGGCAGCCACAGAAAGTCCCGCGGGAAGGCCGGAACACAGCCTCCTGCAGAGCCTCCAGGAGCCCCTCAGGTCTCCTCGAAAGGCTTGTGTTTCCTTCTGGGTGTTGTATTGTCAAGTAGCAGACCCAAATGGAGCCAGCTTAGAGGGGAAGAATAACAGGGGTCCTTGACTTTGGGTGGGGCGGTCTGAGTCTCGCAAATGCCGGTGGCGCCCTGCTGGCTTCCCTGCTCCCCCCAGCCTCGCTGTGGTGGCAGGTGGTCCTGGCCGCTCCAGAAGACGTGGTTCTCGGTGCTCCCAGGCCCTGGGGAAACCCCCCCCCTTCCCTGGCATTT